TACGGAACCAGGGATGGAATTATGGCCCGCCTCCCAGTTATTGCTTCGGGGCTAAGGGGCCTCTGAGGAATAGGTTTGGATAAAAGGGGTTAACCAAAGGGGAAAGGAAGGTTTCCAGGATTCACCGTTACCGAAAGCACGAAGAATGAAGAGTGCTACGTAAATAATTGAGGATGATCACTCTGTTTGGAAATATTTTGCAATGTTATATAACCAGAGTGTGACCAATTGAATGGAGTCCTTTTTTTTTGTTATCACTCAGAAGAGAACTCAAGATATTGTATCATTATTATTATTGTTTTTGTTGTTGTCATGATGGGGTCTCCTTTTGGACATTTCTCTGTTCTTTTCTGATAGCACGGTGATGTAGTTTTTAACACTTGAAGAGATTATTTTGGTGGACATATTTATTACTCAAATGTCTCATGTTGATAATGTGTCAAAGCTGATTTTTGTTCTGATTTTTATTCTCCCGGCCACCTTCCTATTGTCATTGAGGTCTCTGCTCAAATGTTACCCAATGACAAGTTCTTCCCATGTCTTCCCTGTACAACCCGAACTGTTATAAAATAAGGAAAATCACAATTCTTTCCACTTTCCCTCCCCTTGCTCTGCTCTGCTTTCCTCCCGGGCACATGTCACGGTGCGGTGTGATCTCGTGCATCTGTGTGCGCATGGCCTGCTGCCTCCGTTCCCAGGGACGCCCCATGGGGTCAGGGGCCACGTCTCCTGCACCCAGTGCTGTTCCCCCTCCACACAGGAGATCGCTGCTTCATACAGAGGAGAGGCTCAATACCTGGTTATTGAATAAATTAGCAAATCATTGATGAACTCGAAACCCTGACAACGAATTGATGGGACGTGTAATCTAATTCTTCCCTTTTCATCTCCGGTCGTTCATTAACCTCTCAGTTCACAGGCAGGTTCTCCCGAGTTGGAGAGCACATAACACTCACACCACAGAGATGAATGTTATAAAAGAAGTTGAAAATGAACCCTGATAGTTGTTTTTATTGTTTTGATCTCTTCTCCTTCACCAATGGCCCCTACTCATCGTGGACCATAAGGAGCTTATAATACAGTAAGAATATTTCTAAAAATTACATTGTAGCACTCTAAGGGAAGTTCAAATTAGTCTAATAAAATAACAATAGGAATAATCATGACTGATAAATTAAAAATTGCCAGATCAGAGGCAACGTAACTTTAGGTGCTTTATTTACATTATCTCCGATCTTCACGGCAATCCTGCAAAGGAAAAAAAAATCTGTCCCCATTTTAAAGATGAGAAACATACCTCAGAGTCATTAGGTGATTTTGCTAAAGCCACAGAAGTTTGTGTAGTTTGCTTCTGAGTGCCTGACGGGCTTTAGAACAGACTTTGATATGATAGGTTCCTTCAAATTATACCTGTTGGGGAAATAATTGAATAACCAGAGTCATTGTGTCAGCTTTGTAAGTGGAATAGGCTTTAGTTCTACTCTTTCCTGTTAGGCCTTCCAGAACTGTTTGAATAGGTTGCCCCGGTAGATTGTATCAAGCAGGTCCACTGAATTCAGGGAAGATTCACCAGAGATCCCACCCGCCTGGGAAAAGCAACACGCATGCCCCACCTTGCAGCATTTTGGAATAAGGACGGAGTCACGGTGAGAAGGGGCGGCGGACTGTGTAAAACCCAGGCGCAAAGCGGTTTCACTTTTACATTTTCATGGGTGAGAATCAAGGCTAGAGAGTGCTCATTGCAGCCATTCCTGCGTATTTATCATTGTAGGAAAACACACTTACAATAAACCTCCCTCAACACGAAAATGACAAGCCCGTGTGCTCATGAGCACTGTGATTAAAGCGGCGAACGGGCGACATGGGAGAAATAAAACCCTGGACTCCTTCCCTGGTCGATTGCTTGATGATTGAGCAAAAGTTACATTGAAAAGGCGCTTCAGCATTGGCTGCACTAGATTCCCTCGGTGTTTTCAATTAGACAAACAGAAGTCCAGGTGGGAATGTGCTGCGCATTCGTCTGCCTTGCCCTGTGCTCGGGGGCTGGCTTCTGGGAGTGAAATCCCAGTGCGATTGTGCTGAAGTGAACCATAGGGACCTACAGCGGCTCAGGGACGAAGATGTTAAACTAAATGGGCCATGGTTAACACGGCTGTGGATCCCGAGCCACAGTTCTTCCAGGATACGGGGCATTTCGGTCCGTCCAGCATATGTTCGCCGCGGTTTTCTCTGCTCTAATTCATCCATGTGTCCCCACAGCTCCAGATGGCATGCTGCCTCCCAGGCTTGCGGCCGCTGCTCCGACCAGTCTTCAGGTTGCCTGGTCTACACCAGCTCGGAACAACGCCCCCGGCTCAGCCCGCTACCAGCTCCAGATGAGGCCGGGCCCCTCCTCCCCTGTGTTGCTAGAGTGAGCATTCTGCCCCTTCCATCCTCCCAGCGGGCACTGGGGCGTGGTGTAGCCATAGCTTCATCTTCGTTCCCATTTATAAAATGAAATTTACTGGGGCAACATTGCTTAATAGCCTTAGATGAATTTCAGGTGTTTGAGCATAGGTCCGTTCTTATTTGTAACAAATAAAAACCACCTTTTGTTTTTATTTTTAATTGATTTTTAGAGAGAGGGGGAGAGAGGGATAGAGAGATAGAAACATTGAAGAGAGAGAAACATCATTGATCAGCTGCCTCCTGCATGCCCTCTACTGGGGATCGAGCCTGCAACCCGGGCATGTGCCCTGACGTGAAATCATACCGGTGACCTCTTGGTTCATGGGTTGGCACTCAAGTACTGAGCCACGCCAGCCAGACAGGCCACCTTTTAAAAGTTCAAACAAACAAAACAACAAGCAACACCCTAGGGCAGTGATGGCGAACCTTTTGAGCTCGGCGTGTCAGCATTTTGAAAAACCCTAACTTAACTCTGGTGCCGTGTCACATATAGAAATTTTTGATATTGGCAACCATAGTAAAACAAAGACTTATATTTTTGATGTTTATTTCATATATTTAAATGCCATTTAACAAAGAAAAATCAACCAAAAAAATGAGTTCGCGTGTCACCTCTGACACGCGTGTCATAGGTTCACCATCACTGCCCGAGGGGATAATGATTTGCTTTGTAAAAATACCTACTTTTCATGTGAAAATAAGATTTTACAAGAAGGTTTCTTCACATTTCATTTTTCATCAGCACATCTATTACATAAAGCAAGCATGCACTTGAACCCCAAAATGCTGTCTGGTGAACTGTGGCTACAAAATTATAATACATATCCTACTAGTTCCATGTGGCAAACATGCTTAATGCTAGACTAGCATTGACTGAGTGCTACTGTCATATACAGCTCACATGAATGCAATATTATGAACCCTCAGCCAAATGGCTACTCATTTTCAAAGAGCTAGCATGTGAGGACAGAAAGGTGCAATGCTTAACTGCATGTTGACCTTACCTGTTTATTTCTTTGAGTGTCTGAAACTCTCTAAAATGTGTCCCTATAGGTTATTTTCCAGTCCTTCGGCATCGTTGAGCCATGAAGTGAGGGACCTCCAGCCGCACACGGAGTACGAGTTCCGGGTGGTTGCCTCCAATGGATTTGGCAGTGCGCTCAGCCCTTGGATTCTGTTCATGACGACGGAGGACAGTAAGTGTTCTGCACGATACGCAGCCAAATGTCCTCTACACGGGGGAGTCTTGAATGTCTTTAGTTTTTCCTAAACTCATAAATAGTCCTCCTGTATTCTTTGGACATCTAGTGGCAGTAGTCTTCTGTAGGGCAAGGGTGGTTAAATGTTCCAGAAAGAAGGAAAATGCGTGCCTGGAGGGTTGGAGGGCTGGGCGTACAGACGTGGCCCCATTCCATCCTTCAGGGTACCTCGAGGTGCCCTGCGAGAGAAAGCTTGTCAGCTTGTCCTCTGTGACCAAATGTTGCAGGGCTCTCTGCTCTGGAGGGGTTCCTGCAGGTAGAAGACCTGAACTATGGGCCTGACGGTTTGAGGATGCTCAGAGCACCATGATACCTTCCCCTGGAAGTAGGTTTCCTTGTACTTCTATTTGCACTTGACAGACAGCCTTCTGAACAGAGAAGTAGAATCTACTCACAGTGATTCTGCATCTAATACCTACAATAGATTGGAGTTGCCTTAGTCAACCCAGAAAGTTTGTAGTTTTTCGTGGAAGAGCTATGTTTGCATTTATATGTTTTTACTAGGTTATATAGGAAATAAACTCATGGACATAATATTTAGTTTTATACAAACTACCTCTATAAAAGCATACCAGTGGAAGCATAATTTTGTGTAGAGAAGTTGTAAATTAATGCAAGCTACACAGAGTGAATGAGGACACTGGATCTTTGAGCATTGATGTTTTTAGGGTTAATCTTGTCAATTCTTTTAATCCGGGGCTTCTTAGAAGATGTTGTTCTGTTGGCCAACTGCCATTCCAGCTCTATGTCTAGTGAGGACTGGAGTGACTTTCTCAAGCCTGGATATTAGTCCAAAGGCATAGTGTTTGAAACAGTACCAGTTGTTTATTCAATAGAATATTTATTTCTTCAGTAACCTTAATTACAGTATTGTAGTGAGGAGGTGACATCAGATGAGATAGAATCAGAACTATTTTCGTTCCTCAAAGCTTCCCTAATTTTACAAACATCAGTTATGAACAATAATATGTACTGTTTCGTCCATTTCTCCCTGGGAGCAAGTTAGGTCCTTTACGGGGCACATCCCAGTCCTTCTGGTCTTGAGGGGACCGTTTAGCAAATTATCAGCACAGCGCAGTAAACACCGCCTAAGGCCCAGGAGGCATTAATGCGCCACTCAGCACACCTACTCCCCTTCAGGGGGACTTCCATACACTCCGGGGAAGCGGACAGCCTGGTCACAAGCTCTCTACAGATTTATGGTCTAGAGAGCTCACACTTGAAGTAGAGTTTTAAAGAAATAATTGTTAAAACAATTGAATAAAGAGATGACCTGAACATAATTATTCAACCCACTGCAGAGGTGATTCCCATAGAATGCCACACTGGAAAAGGGAAGAAATGGTCTCCGTTCTCTGGCACTCATCATTTCTATTCCCATCAAGAAAGGGTGACTGTGAATTACCTTGGTCGCGATGCTTACTAAAAAGGGAGCATGATCTCCTATCCACAGGCAGGAAGTTCACCAGGGCAGGAAATGAGCACTAGCCGCCCAAGCAAATGCGTGGGTGCAAAGGGAAGTTCTCGTGGACAGAGAAAAGGACTGTGAGGAATTTTTTAAAATATATTTTTATTGATTTCAGAGAGGAAGGGAGAGGGAGGGAGAGATAGAAACATCAGTGATGAGAGAGAATCATTGATCGGCTGTCTCCTGCACGCCCCACACTGGGGATTGAGCCCACAACCCGGGCATGTGTCCTGACCTGGAATGGAACTGTGACCTCCTGGTTCATAGGTCAACGCTCACCACTGAGCCCCCTCAGCCAGGTGATCTGAGGAATTTTTAATTAAACCTATTGGTGAGACATTGGTTAATAAGATTATGCAGGTTTTAAGTGTCCATCTCTATGATACATGATCTGTATATTACATTGTGTGCCCACCACCCAAAGTCAAATCATCTTCCATCACCATATATTTGACCCCCTTTACCCTTTACTAACCCCACTCCCCTTCCCTCTGGTAACCACCATACTGCTGTCTGTGAATTTCAGTTTTATGTCACACATATAAGTGAAATCATGTGGTTCTTAGCTTTTTCTGTCTGACTTAATTCGCTTAGCATAATAGTCTCAAGGACCATTCAAGGTGTCCCATATGGTAGTAGTTTATCTTTTCTTTTTATTTTATTTTAAATCTTTATTGCTGAGAGTATTTATCTTTTCTTATGGCTCAGTACTATTACATAGTATATAGGTACCACATCTTTATCCAGTCATCTATCAGGGGACACTTTGGTTGTTTCCATGTCTTGGCCACCATGAATAATGCTGCAGTGAGCATAGTGTTACATATGTCTTTGAGGACAAATGCTTTGGAAGGATGGATTGGTTAATGGAAAAGTCTATCTGCCTGGCCTTCAGGGCCTATAAGGCACCCTGCTCTTCCCAATGTGGAACCTCTCGTTCTTTGCAGACTGCACTCCTGCCTTCCTGAATTCTCCCATCAGCATACTTAATTTTCTATCCCAAACCTTCAAGGATGGGTCCAGAGCTATTTACTGAACTATATGCTCCAATTCTGGAAGAAAAAGCATTCTTACTAATGTATACTCTCTGGTCCTGATCTCAGGAGAAATGGAGAAAAATAGTTTCCCAATATTGGTTCTCCTACTCTCAGACGACCAAGTAATATCTTTTCCATTTTCACACTTACTGGTCTTCAGCAGTTCCTTTTATTAATCAACTAGAGGCCCAGTGAACAGTCAGGGCCAACCAGCCAGGGGGAGGGACCACAGGAGGTTGGCTGGCTGTGGGAGTGCACTGACCACCAGGGGGAAGCTCCTGCGTTGAGCATCTGCCCCCTGGTGGTCAGTGCATGTCATAGTGACTGGTCGACCAGTCATTTGGTCGACCTGTCATAACAGTTGCTTAGGCTTTTATATATATAGATGACGCCTGTGTTACCAGCCTTTTCTTATTTCATCAGTTGCCAAAGAGCTGCATGTCCATTTTGGTGCAAAATCATGGTGCCCGTTCTTCCTCTTTGTTTTGGGATAAGCTGTTGAACCCTTTTCATCATCATCAGATTAATATTTCTTTATCTTTATTTTATTGGTCCTATTACATTTAAGTCTTTTGTGATGAGCTGTCAGAAATCCTGTGGGCAGGTAGTTGGGGTATAAATAATAAATTGATAGATTTCATGATTAAAGGGATGAAGGACTCCATCACTCTCCACTTCTGCTAGCGTATCAGTAGTGAATATCAAAAGGCCACATTAACAATTAGCATATAACATATTGCTCTGTGTAATTACGCATCCATATATTTGCCACCTTGATTTTTAATTCATTGGGAAATTCTGGGAATATTTATTTGTGGGGTTGATATTACTGAAAAAGGGCTTTGAAACTGAGTGAGTTTTTAATGAAAATGGTAAAAAGTTGCTTCAGGCCAACAATGAGGACCTAACAGGGAAACTGAGCAGTTGCAGGTGACTAATAATACAAGCGAGTCTAGAAGAGGTGAAAACCACGGAAAGTTAGACACACACAAAAGGTGTGAGTGGGCCCACCCGTTCATTCATACACACAATTACACACGTGCGCGTGTGCGCACACACACCCTTCCCAACATGCACACGTGAGTATGAAAATAAGCAGACCCCTTCGTTAACAGCTTTGTCTAAGGCTGGGGTTGAACTTCTGAAGCCCTGGAGCAAAATCGTTTCCCATAAAAGACAATTTCATTTGCCAAAATGAAACTACTTTCTGTTATTGATGCTGTAATAATGAAATGGCCTGTACTCCGAGTCTGGATCTGGACAGAGAATGCCCCGTTCCCGGCTCCGGGAGGGAGTTCTCCGAACAGTCGCGCTCCGGGTGCGGCCGTGTGGGTGTATTTCCGTCCCTGGCCGGCTGAGCTGTGTGGCTGTCATACTTCCCAGTGACAGCTGCATTGACAACATGTTACACCCCACATTGATTTTACAGTTAAGCGGCGGATGGTGATATATTGGGATTTTAAGAATTCAGCTGAGAGGCTGACTTTTGCCTTTTATCATTCCATTAAAATTTTATAACCATCTTTTTCATGTCATTTCACCCATGAATTCTTCCTTTAGAAAGTGATAGCTACCGCCGTGAGCATAACTTTGCCCGTGTTCAGAGCTTTTTATTGTATTAGCAAACTGCCCCAATTATAGTTATTACTCATGTTTTACATAATTGTGCTGACCCTTTCCACCACGCAGTAGCATGCCGGTTGATTTGTATATAGAATAAGACGATCCGGCCTATCCTTTTAAAGCACACACTTGAACCCGTGCCAGGAGTCGGGTTTTAACACTTGCCTGGCCAGAGGAGCTAATTAAGCTGCTTTCGGATCCCTCTCCTGAGTCACACAAGTTTAAGGGCCCTTCTTGCGACAGGAGCAGGGAACCGACTCCGAGCGGAGAGCTAATAAAATGCGCTGGCTTTTAAGGGGGGCGAAATCATGAAATTGACATGGAGCATCTTCTTTCCCAAGATAAGAGATCATCTTGAGGGAAAGCCT